ATACGTCAAAATACTCTCCATCCTTTCACTTTAATTCTTTCAATACTTATAATAACCATGTCTATTTTGAAGATTAGGGAACTTAATGTCTTATTAGAATGAGAGATCACTATATATTGTGATCTCTCATTCTAATAAGACATTAAGTTCCATAATCTTCATATTTTACCCTGAACCAAAACTCAAACCCAAACCAATAAAAATATCCGATCTAAACCTAAAAATTTAACAAGCATTTAGAATAAATCCAAAAATTTTCTAACCAAAAACAGCTGAAATCAATCCGAATGGATACGATCCTATAGGAACCGTTTCATATCCGTCATAAAAATACGAATATCCAAGACTATGGCTCCATATAGTGTATTTTTTATATTTTGATTTATAATTAAGTTGTATTTTTTTTTGTTTGAAATGATCATTATTATCTTTAAACAATTTCAAATAATATGAAACTTTAAATTTCAAGTTTACAGTTTTAAGTTATTATATTTTGAAAAAAATTAATTTAAAATAGTTAATCCTATTTTTTAATATTTTATTTTAATTATATTATAAAACTGTGAATAAATATACCATTGGTTAACTTTTAATGGAATTTGGGTATTCAGACTCTTTTTGGATCTTAAATACCCGGACTCTTTAGCTTCGTTATCTATCCAAAAATTACATGTTTTATAGATATTTTATTAATACACATGAACCAATCTGAGCTCAAAAAACTTACCCAAACCCAAATTTTTTTTTTCAAGTACTTAGTTAGGTCCAGATATCTAGAATTTGAAGGATTCACAACATAAAAGAAGATCCAGTTTGTCAACAAAAAAATAAGAAGATCCAGTATGACCCAAAGACCTAAATACACATGCCTAACTATAATATGAAATGATATTACATAAAATTATAAAGTATCTTCTAAGAAACTATTTTTAGACATTTATAACATACTCTTTTCTTATAAAATATAAGTTACTAGGGTAGGCCCGCCCTACGGGCGGGATGTAATTAACTTGTGATCTAAGTTTTTATTTTCTTATATAATTTTATGGTTTGTGATTTAAGTTTGTATTCGCAACAGATGTGAATAATAATGATTTTTGTGTTTTAACAAATTTTAAGTGATGAAGAATATTATATTAATTTTACTTGTTTGTTTATTTTTCTGACTTGTTTTTGGTTTTATTATTTGTTGTCATATATATATTTTATGACATAAAACTATTTTAGTAATTATATTTATTTTTGGTTATGTTTTTATAATGAGATTACATTTTTAGATCATCTTCGGCTATGTATAACTAAAATTATTTAATTTTTATTAATTTTGTTAGAGATTATAAGTTCGTATGAACATGACACGATTTTCGTGATTGAAATGGCATATATTCTCTTAAATGTTTGCTCAATTTTTTATACATAGTAAGTAGATTTTAGTTTTACTGTTGTGGTTAGGTTTAATACTCAAAATATTGATTATTTTATATTTTTAATGTATTGAATGTACCTGTATTTTTTATTTCTTTTACATATTTATTTTTAAACTAATAATTTAAATAATTGAACATGAATAATAGAAAATCATTTGTGTAAAAAATCAGAATCAAAACATAATATTATTTATATATTTTTATATTAGAAAATTAAATAAAAAACATTATCCCAATAACTTATTAGGTTTTCAAAAATAAAATTCACTGGTTACTTGTTAGAAATAATGGCCTCCTCATATACAATTAACTTATTATTTTATCCAATTAACTTTTGGATTATTTTATATAGTTTCTTTTAAATATTTTTTTAGTAAATAAGAAAAGTAAATAATAGCTCGACAGTGAAATTATTTTCCCTAAATTTTGGTAGATAGTAATAACAAATTTAATAAATGTACTATACAATCAATATCAATTAAGATTTTCTTATAAAATATTATTAATCAAAATAGATAAGATATCTGTAAATATCATATTTGTGGAATGTGTACTATATCTTCATAATATTATCCTAACCTCTTCTTCCATATTGGCAAAATGGATGACCTTTGACTGTGCCGTATTACATGTGTATTATATCTTTATCTAAAGGCTCCCTAAAATCCGAACCGCTGCTTGTGTGGCTGTTCGGTATGCCATTAGAGCATCGTTAAGGTTCAGTTAGTCATCTAGGAGAGCGACTCAGTTTGACATCCCCCCTTGAAAGCCTAGTGGTGTGAGCTAATTTTGCTAGCAACCTTGGTTTCTCGAAACTGAGATACAAACCATTACTCTGCAAGATGAGCAAATAAACTATCGAATCCACTTTGTTGTGCCAAAGCTCAAACCCAATATTAACATATGAAATTATCTTAAAAGCATGACGATGAATGAACATTACACTCTGATTTTATGCCTGAGACCTATACTAAGATTTATATTAAATTATTTAATAGCATTTGCAAGGAAGAAATATGATATTTAAATGAGGGTGAGTAAGACCAACAAAGTTGTTTAGTTGACAAAGAAAAAGTCATAATTAGGTCATTTGATCGGTCAAAAAATTATTGCGTTTGATTATGTGTCATCAGAGGTTAAACAATCGGGACATTTTGTTAGTAGTGATTTAAACACAAAAGCAAACACAATATCTGTCTAAAAATTACTTAATATACTATTTTTAAAGATAAGCAATACGTGGTTTGCAAGTTTTTAAAACATAATTTGATGATGCGTTAGAAAATTGATTCCTTTCTTGATATGGTGACAGTGTAGAATTAGGAAAAAAATAAGCAATTGCAGAAAAAATATATAAATGACTTTTTTTTGAAGAAAAAGAGAATTAGTGACATCATATGCTGAGGTGGGTGAAGGAGAAGAGAGTTTCTTCTTCTTTATATATAAATATTTTGGAAGTTTTTCTGTTTTAAAATATATGGGGATTTACATTAAAATAACTATATTTTAATTTTTATATAAATATTAGATATGTATTAATATGTTATGTATCTTGATATATCATGATTTTTGTGTATTTTTATCATGATATAAATTTGGCTTTAGAGTTTTTTGGGTAATTTTGAGCAAAATATAATTAAGGAATTAATTCCACTGAAATTCGATGACCGAAAAATAATTAACATTTTATTTTATCTAGTTACAAAAAAAAACTAACAAAACTAAAAATCCACATATACATATACATATACATATACATATACTTTATTTCTGAAAGACAAATACATAATCACATAATCATTGATTATCTCTTACAGATCTTTTTTAAAAAAAAATAGTAGATAACACGTTCAGAACAATAAATACGCTAAATAATTAATCAAGCAGATATTTAAAATCCACATATATAACCAAAAAGAGTTTCAACAAAATAAAACCTATCAAAACAAAAGTAACTAATAGCCATTCCCTACCTATTTCATAAACACTAGTTTTTCTTGGTGCTTGACATTGATCATTCATCATTCAAGGTCGTGGATTATATAGATGCATGGGCTCTAATTCAGATGCACAATCTTTTTCAGCTTTATGACTAGACGACATCACCGAGCAAGCTTTACCACATAAATAAGAGCCAAAAAGGATAACCATGACAGTTAAGACAGCCATTACTCGAAACAACACTTTCACTGTGTCTTCTTCATATGGTGATGTATCCATGGTGTTAGCGATCCAAAACTCCAGTTCTTGTGTAAATCCTGATTAGATGAATAATGCCTCTTATTGTGAAAGTCTTTGTAGAATACATATATATATATAGAATAGGAGATTTATTTAGTATAATTTTGGATAAGTCCCATGTCTAATATCTTACCTAAATTTAGATAGTTCTAAGATTAATAACATTTGTTACAAAATGTTTTCGTTTTTAATTTTGATACGAGTATCTCGTCTTTTATGTATATCTGATTCTGTTAAAATTAATAAGTAAATATATAACAAGTGCTCAGTTCAACAACATTCTGACCGATATTATTAGTATTATTTCTTTTTTTGGAACACTAGGTTGAACCATCAAAGACTACTTGCCTTGCCTGCGTAATCAGATTTGAAACATGGTTTTCGTAACAGTCCTCTCTTTTAAACATAGCCGATGGCCGGGAAAATGGGTTTTTAAATCCCGAACTATTTGCAATCGGCAAATTAAATACTAAACTATTGCTCGCGCAGTTTAATGCCCCAACTATATGTTGACCTGGCGAATTGAAGACTACGAAAGTCAGCCGTTAAGTCAATAACGTTTGTCGTTAGATTTAATACTCTTCCCCCATTATCTTACGACATAGCTCAAAATCCCTAATTTGAAACCCTAATTCCGCGATTCCGGCGACGTCTGACGAGATAGAAGAGCAAATCCAACGACGTGATGAAGAACTTCGGGAAGAACAAGAAGATTTGTCGAGATACGACTCAGCTTTCTTCTGAATCAAAATCGGTAATCATATGTTCTTTTCACTATTTTGCAGAATCAAGTGTCTGGTGAAATTGAAATATGTTTGTAGAAGATTGATTTCGAACTTTACTTTGGTGGCTATGTCTTTAGGAGGAGTTAGGTCCAGAATGTATGAGTGATTCATATGGTTGTGGGATTGTGTATGGAGAAACGGGATATCCAAAAAAATGTGTTTGTGGAAGCTCGGTTAAGATCTTTACATCAAAGTCCACAGCTAATCCAGGACGTCCTTATTTTCGATGTACTTATTCCCGAGTCGTAAGATTTACTAGAACACTTATTCTCATGTGTTAGCCATTGATAACTTTTTTTTATCTTTGTCTTTCATGTGTGTATCAGGATGGTCACTTGTTCAAGTGGGTTGAAGATGGAACATATGAAGAAGTGAATGAGCTGAAGGTTAAAGGGATGTTTTTAATTAATGACCTGAAACTTCAGATTGAGAACTTGAAAGAAGAACTCCAGGGATGCAGAAACGAGATGAAAAAAAAAAAAAAAAAAAGACCATTGTGCTTTTTGGTGGCTTGTGTATTGTGGCCCTTGTTGTCTTCTGCGAAAAGATGTTTGACCGAGGTGAAAGTTCACTTGTGTTTGGTAAGAATAAAATGTAGGAGAAAGTAAGGAAATATGTATGAAAATGTAAGATAAGTTAGGAATTTGGTTGTAAGACAATTTATGTCTTTTAAACAAGCTTTTGTAAGACAATTTATGTGTGGCCAAACAAGTTTCTGAGTAATATTAATTAGTTCAGTATAATGTTATTGGTACTTGTTAATTTTATAAAAGTTAAAAAATCGTTCATAAACTTGAGTCATTAATCCATACATATCCTACATCACCAAAGACCAAGACTTAACCAACTTTAGATTTGTTTTTGAGTTTACAAAAAAATACCAATCCACACACATCCGTGAGAGAGAAAAAAATAATAAGACCACAACTCCATTTGGTTATGTAGAGAATCCAAAACACCCTTGTGATGCTCCTTCTGATGCTCCTTGTGATGATTGAGATGGTGGAACTTGCGATGATACTTGAGAAGCTCCTTCTCCCTGCATTCAATAAGCATCAAATGTTAGAGAATAAGACAAAAATAAACCATTCTATGAAAACAGTAAGCCATTGTAAACATGTTCTTTTCGTGGACGGCCTCTGGGACGTTTTGGTGGAGGAGCTGCAGCTGGATTAGGACACCTACTCTTATTATGGCCTTCCTTCCTACAGTTTGAGCAAGTAGAAACTCGACCATGGCGGGTAAGCTTGTGTGGATTAGAAGTAGACTCATGAGGAGCTTTCTTTCTAGCATGATCAAATATTATTTAGACTACAAAATAAACTATAATTATGAGACGACGTCGTGTTCCAGAAGACTGTGACAACGACATCGTATCACTAAATTCGCAAAATTGACCCACACTCGTGATTATAAAACGCGAATTTTAGGACCACAGTCGTGATTTCAAAACGCGATTTTAGAAAAATCGCGTTATTCTAGATTTTTTTTTCCTCAACACAAAAAGGTTTCATCATCATCATCGTTGTCTCATCTCCGGCGTCTGCTAACCGCTATCCATCTTCTTCGGGGGAAGAGGAAACGTCTCTCCGATCACCGAGGAGATTCTCTGGAACCCGTCTCCTTCGTGGGTCAGTCTTCGATTCGCGTCTCTTGTACCGCATCTACTGTTTCAGATTTGGAAATTGAATTGTTGAATTTCGAAAATTTATTAGATCAAATCATATCCTTTGAATCTATAGATTTGGATTGTTTTATTAAAGTTTGCTTTTTTATCATCAAGCTGAGACCTTTATTAGATTTTTCTCTAAGCTGATGGAACTATTAAAGTGAAAGTTTGATTTTTTTTTAATTGTTTGTAGATTGATGGAAAGAAAAGCTGATATGTTGCTTGAGAGACTCACCAAGAAACCACCTTCGCTTGTTGATCTATGCGTTAGGTTAGCTATTGATAATGTACGCTACATTGGGTACGTTGGTGGTGTTGATTTTCAGCTCCTTGAGAAGATTTTCCAGCACTGTACGTTAGAACAGCTCATGCATATTGAGGATTCTACTCCTGTAAGATAGGATTCTCACACCCTATGCATGATAAAGTCTTTTGTTATTTGGTTGATGGTTTCTTTATGTTAAGTTGTGTCTTTTGAGTTAGGACACGGATCTTAGTCCTGTGACTAATGAGTTGTGGAAGAGGTTTTATGAGAAGCAGTATGGTGCTAAGAACTTGAGTTTTGTTGTGGAGAAGATGGAGAGGAGTAGAGTGAGTTTCAAGTGGAGAGAGTTGTATGAGGTTTGTTTTTGTTACTTTATGTCTTGATGTGTTTAAACTATAGAAGCACGTTGAGGTACTTAAAAGATAAAGGCATTTGGTTGCATGTAGGCGAAGTCGAAAGTTGTGGAAGAAGATGAGAAGGAAGCTGTTGATCGACTGAAGGAACGTTACAAGAATGAAGATGCAAGTACGATCTTTTTTGTTAATTGATTTTTATGTTATGGCCATTTGATCCATCACAAGAAGGCATGTTCTTAACCAGAATATGTTGTCAGGGAAACAAAGTCGTCAAACTAAGCTCTGCGCAAAAGCTCCTCCAATCAAAAAAGCCTTCTGGGGTAAACATTTCTGTGTGATTCTTTTGTATCATCTGGTCAATATCTTGAAACATTCACGAATTGGTTTTGCCATTTTTGGCTTTTGTACTGAAAATGGTTTTGTGGAACGTGTTTAATTGCAGGTAATAGTGGATCTGGTTACAATCTTTCGCATGTCAAGAGCAACATCATGAAGAAGGCTAAGCTAGATGTTTTAAAGAGGTAACTGATCCTTTAATAATGTACAATCACAAGCCTCATGTATTAATCCTTTTCTTGATTACAGTCAAGAAGTGAAGAATCTCACTGCAATTAAGAGGAACAGTATTCAGAAGGGTGTCAGGTAACAACAGTCTCTATCTATAGATCTAACTTTCGTTTTTGTCCAAAGCATTGATCAGTTCTCTTACTTTGTTTACACATTGTCTAGTAGTTCTCCTTCAAAGAGGACCTACTTATCGGGGAACGTGCCTTCAACTTCAAGAAGCAACTCTGCTGGAGAACAAGGGAAAAATCTCCCTGCAGTTAAAAAGAATACAATCCAGAAGAACTTCAGGTAACAAAATATGATCTCTGACACCCCTGCGACTTTATCTATCGAACCACATGCTTTATTATCTAAACCTTTGTTCTCTAACTCCATTGACCAAACTATGGCTTGTCTAGTATTTCTGCGCCAAAGAGGACAAACCTATCCGTGCATGCGCCTTCAACTTCAAGAAGTGGTGAAGGAAATCTACCTCCAAAGAGGATCAACAGCCTTCTTGGGACAGCTCCTTCAAGTTCAAGAAGCAACTCTTACGGTGAAGGGAATCTACCTCCAAAGAGGATCAACAGCCTTCCTGGAAGTGCTTCTTCAACTTCAAGAAGCAATGGTGAAGGGGTTCTACCTTCAAAGAGGATCAACAGCCTTTCTGGGACTGCTCCTTCAAGAAATACAGCCACCAAAAGAAAACATGTAATGTAACCTATGACATTCTTTTCCGAGCATATTTATTAAGTGTATAATTTGCATATCTGCTTCAAGTTTCTTACTTTGTTGCTTGAGGATAAGTAACAATAAATCTTCAAAGATTCTGCAATTATGTTGATTAACTTGTTGCTTTCTTACTTGTTGCTCTGTTTGAGAAATCTCACAACAGAAGTTTATATAAAGAAACTAGAAAGCAATCGAAATTGGAAACTAGAGTCATGTTGAAGATTGTTTTTGGGATAATAATCCATAAACGTACCTAAGGCCAACAAAGACTAATCAGACATGTTTGAGTTCGAGTTTTTTTCTTTTTGATATAAGAAAACATGTTTTCATTGGGTCACTGGTAGTTTGTGTAATCACAAGATTTTCATCTAAGAATAAGAACGATCCATTAATCCCTCTTGCAACAAAGGACAAAATTTACTGGATAAGCTTTAGAGGAAGAAGAAACATGCTTATCAAAAAGAAGAAAACCAATTAAATCTGGATACTGTACCTTGTAATTAACATGGGCTCCCTTTTCTGGAACAACATGAAAAAAACTGCAGAAGATGATACGGAAAAAAAAACACTTACGAGTCTATAGGCTCCCATGGTCACATCTCCACCAAATGACAGACCAACTCCTCCCTTGCTTGGACCCCTTCCAGGGAGAGGTTGAGGATAACTCCACAAAAGTTCACACATCAATCCTGAAAACACAATAACAAGATTAGATATTTTCACATAAACAACTTTACAAAAGATGTGTATGATAAAGCATACCTTCCTCAGGAGGCTCATTGAATCGGTCAATGGCTCTGATGTCTGAGAGCTTCACGCCATCAGAGACTGAATAGACCTCCATAGACCACAAATATTCTCTCATTTATAACATGAGAAAAGAAACCAACCTGCCTAACATTGAAAGGCTCTTTACCTCAACTCATCGGTTCAGTTACATTTGATTTATAGTGAAAAGAAGTGTTAGGTTTGTTCTCTAATGTGTTTCTCTTATGCTCTGCTCTAAGGTTGATGTATTTACCACACTAATCTCTTGTCTCCACAACGAACCAACCAGTCATAACATCTTCTTTCTTGGTCATCAGCCACTCCGTTTTTGGTCTTACCTACTCTTCAAATTCTCTCTCATAGTATTTACTTTATCATCCATCTTTCACTGGTGTTTGTTTGTGTTTGGTCTTAACTACTCTTCAAAATATCTCTAGCTATTTTCTCATTTGTTTTATTAAGCCACTAGCCATTACATTTTTCAGATGTCTCTACTGTGGCCTAAGAAACCAGTGAAGCAACCGAATTCGTGAACTTCTCAGTGAGCTTCTCAGCGCTGCTGATCCATACAGTTTCAGGCACCAGTAAGATTTGACATAGAGAAAACCAAGAGTATGGCCTTTTGGGAACTAATCCTAAGGAGTAAGAGCATAAGCACTAAATCCAGAGCACAAAGCTCTGTTGATAGTCATCACATCATGGTTTCTAATAGTAAGTGTGCTCATGTTCTTCATTTCTTAAGTTTACAAGCAAAGGTTCCTGTAGTACTATCAAGCAATCTATTAGCAATAAGTCTCTCTTTGTAATTATGCTAACAGAGAGATACTGCCAACTAATTGAAGAAAAGCAGCTAATTGTGATGGCAAACCGATCCCAAGTGCATTCATAGCCTAAAAGCCAAAGATTAATTCATCAATCACCTCTACAATAAAACAACCAAAAACACACAAGCTCAAACAAAAGCCTAGCAAAATCTTTGGCACTCATATGACTCTGAAAGTGCTAAAAATTATGGTCTTCTGCCAACCCTCCTCTTAATATTATCAATCATACAAACACTGACACTGCCACCAAACCAATAAGTCCAAGTGAACCAACAGCAACCACTGGCCACTGCACTTGTCCTAATTCACCCATTTTAAAAAGGACTAAATAGATTGTCTTGTATGGTACAAGGAATATAAATATATATGATATAAATTCTTGGACAGTTGGACCGTGCATGGATCTCAAATCCAATATGTTCATCGTGATTAATTAAAAATATCGACTGACATTGGAAATTTTTGTTTATGCGAAATGAGCTCATCAAAATAAAAATTGGGCCACGTTACCACGTACGTTACATACATCAACTTTCTTCTTTTACGTTACATTAACTTGCTCAATATCATTAATGCAAATCTCAAATGCAAGTGCTACCTCGTGATTCTATTTAATTTCTATATGGCCTCCAACTAAATATTAAAGTTATATAGCTACACTCTTTACATTAATAGTAGTAATTTTCGTTAATATATAGTACTACCATATAATATACCGCACTTAACACTTCTCATAACTACGATCTGGCTTACATAAATCATGACTTTAATGTCTTGCTAAAGAGAAAGTTTTGGAAGAAAAAAAAATGCTGAGATCTCTTTCCCCATATATCAAAGCTAAAAGCCATATCAAAAAAGGAAAAAAGAAAACAAAGAAGAGTAGAAAATAAAGTTAAAAACAAAAAAAAGAACAATATTTGGTGTCATCATCATCAGCCTCCGAACTTCATATCTTGTTTATCTAAGCTTTGGAGAAATGAAGTAAGGACTTTAATGGTTTTGATCTGACATTGTAAAGACATAATGTAACCAGCTGTCTCTTCGAATAGTGCGTCCACACCAAGCGCAGTTCCTCCGGGAATAATCTTCTGCAACGCCTCAATCTTCTCCTTTACTTCTTCTTCGTCTTCATCTTCTTCACCGGACACACACACGCTTGCCTTAGTCTGCGACAATCTCCTTTTGGTTCTGCGCTCGAAACCAGCGGCTGTAAGAGATCTAGTGTTGTCAGGAGTTGCTAGAGCTTTCTCCATTGTGTGTGTAAGAGAGAGAGAGAGGAGTGATGTGTCTGAGAGAATAATGAAGGAGTAAGGAAATTGCATGTGTTGATGTGTGTATATATATATGTGTGCTGATAGATTTAGTGGACAAAATGGTAACTGTAATATTTTTTGGCCGGTTCAATCCCACTGTACTTTGGTTTATCATGAATTGATTTGTAAGTAAACAAAATGAGTTGAGTTTAGGGACAATACTATATCGGTTTGGTTTGGTTTAGTCTCTTACCCTCCTAGTTATTTCTTGCTTGCTTATGTATCAGTGGGTTAGAGTATCTCTTTTCAACATTTTCTTTAAAAATAGAAAAACTCTATTATATATATGTGAGTTTTGCTTAAATGCATATATATAAAATAGAGTTCTTCTAACTTTAGAAAAAAATATAGGAAAATGATATTTTTACTTCTAAGTGATGAATACTTTTATGATAGAAATTTGCCATATAAGAAAATAGAAAAATGGTGGGAAAAAATGATCTTAAGAATAACGAATTCCGGTTTGGTTTGTCTTCAAAACGATGTAAAGCTAAAATTTGATTAAGAAAAACTATATTTAGTAATGAGAAATAGTTAATATTGCCATCAAAGCTGGGTCCAGTTATACGGTTTTATATTTTTTTATTATCCTCGTGTTTCTAGTTGTGGTTGTGTTAAATAGAATTGGATCTTGAAAAGGAGGCTTAGTTCTTCACGTGCCATGTCTACTGGTTAGACTATAGTGGCCACGCACTCACTTAAGTGGATCATGCTCACACACCTACATTGGATTTTGTTTGTTTGATTGATAAACTAGATTTGATGGTGTCTATTTATATATTAGTTAGAAGTATATTATCTATTAGTGACTCAGCAATAGCTTATAGTATATCTGGTTAAGTTAAAGTGGCGTTTCTGGACATGAATGTATCAAGTCCAAATAAAGAATATCATAAAAGAAATAATATATACATTTAAAGGTTAACCTTCCTTCTTAAAGAATAAAGATTCTTATTAGTTCTAAAGTTAGCATGTTATTCAAAAACATAAGTTAGATGACGACAAATCATAACCGTAGTATAAGGTTGTAGTAACCAGTACGGACGAGACATTAGTGTAACGAAAACAGAACGCGCGTGGAGATAAGAAGAAGGAGAATGACCCGATGCCGCATGTGCATAGGAACAAGGGAGTGAATAAAGAGGGGACCTACGTACACAGAAAGCCCAAAGAGAAGGAAAACGAGAGAGAGCACATGTGCTCTCACATGATAATCTCTTCGAAGACCCATCCCCATGTGCCCCTCTCTATACACACCCGACGGGACATTAACTAATACAGACTGTATATGTGTATGTGTTTATGTATACATATGTATATGTATATGTATGGATGAGATCGAGATCCAATAGATACGTACTCAAGTAAGAGATAGTGAAATGGTTCGTACAATGAGATCTATCCAATCTACTACTTGCTCTTAAGATCCACATGCATATCTATCGGGCATGGTGGCCACATGGCACTCTCGACGGACCCCCCCCCCCCACTCCCAATGTCTTCAATATTTACTGGCAACTAATTTGAAAAACATAAAAAAAACAGTGAAAATAAATAATAAGAAAAAATCATATATGTGTAGATTAAAATAAATGTTTCATTAGAATCTGATAATTTAGTTAATTAATACTGCTTCTGTTTCAATATATTCATATTTCAGAAAAAAAATTGTTTATAAGAGATACATATATCATATTTTCAGTATATTAGTTAATGTTAAATTGTACATTTTAAAAATTTTATTAGAATTTTATTGATTAAAATTATAGAGAATAGTAAGTTACTGAAAGTAATATATCTATAATTAAAAATTCATATAATTTTTTGATATATGTAAAAATATTAAAACATACATCTTATTGAAACATAAGAAGTAATATATACCAAATTGGAATAAATGAAAGATAAGATTTGAGACAATTCACTGACTTTGCAATTGTATATGTTTTAGGTCAAAACTAACAAAAAACAGATGAACCAACATTAGTTATTAATATTCAACTGTTATATATTATCCATATAAATATGTAACTGTTAGTCTGGTAGGATATCTTTAATAGTCTGTATTTTATTAACAAAAAATTTACAATGTTGCTTGGGAATTTAGATGATAAATAGTATGATCAATATGATTTCATGGTTTGACAAAATGAATAACATGTTTATTAAAAATAAATAACTCGATACTTTTTTTTTGTTCTAGTGCTCTTATTGGGAATGTTTATATATACATTTTAAAAAGCTGAAAGATGTAAGAAAACAAAAGAAAATAGGATAATGTTTCCAAGCAGGGGACGAAGAGGGGTTTGGTTTCTCGGGATTGAGTTTTACAAGAATCGGGTGCCTTTCTCAGTTCACCATCTACCAAACTGACACTTACCCAATTCTAGTCTATCAATTTATTTATGTATTTCGTTTTACATTAAATATGTTACAAAAATAACACACTGGTGATAAATTCAATTTCAGCTTTATTGTTTTCTCAGTCAGCTTTCACAATTCGTATTGGAATAATCAATTCCATATCCCTTTCTATCTTTTTCTCTTCTCCTGTTTTTTCAGAAGTCCCAAATTAAAGTTTTTTCAATGATGAAAGAACAACTTAAATATTCACATTTTAGGAGTAAGATGTTTATTGCTTGTGACATTTATGCTGTTACAAAGTAAAACCGAGAATGTGATGGGTATTGGTTAATTCAAGATATGTTTTTGTAGAGTTGAGAAAGGAAAAGAACGAAGAACTTGGGAAAGGTTTGTTTTAGCAATACAAATTACAGTTTTATTCAAGGAAGGGTTTTTCTCTATGGCTGGAGATATGGGCCAAACATGTGGACCCATCATGATGGGTGATCTCCAGGACAATGCTCACAACGGTGTGGTCCCACTGCAAACGTTATTTCTCTCCTTCTTATCCACATTTGGTTGCAATGAAAGTGGGATACATAATTTGAACTTTTGAAGCATACCTATATTTTTTACATCTTCTTTTTGCTGCAAAACAGTCACAGAAGAGATTATGAAGAAAGAACAAAAAAAAACAGAGCTCTCAGAGATCACATTTATGTTTTGTAGACCCACAGACTTATTAAGATAATGATTTGAAAATAGATTACTAAATGACTATGGCTAGAGATCTTAAACAATCACCCCAACCAACTAGATATTAAACGGGTTATAGAGAGTATAACAAATCAGAAACCGATATTAGATATTGTCTTATACAGTAGTAACATAACAAAATTTGTTGCTTATTTGTTAGATCATCTGCAACTCCACTTTCTTACTTTCAACTCTATTTAAAAATAATTTTTTCAACCTTATTTTATTTTCAGCTCAATACAACAAAATATAGCTTTATTCCAAAATAATACTTTATTCCTTACACCATTATTACTTATTATTTAGTTTTGGAGTAAAAATTAAATATAGCTGAAGAAATATTCAACACCATTTTTAGGATTATTTTAGTTTGATGTGAAAATAGAATAATTTATTAGAAATCTCTTACCACATAAAACTACTAATACTCAAATTTAGGTAAATGGAATATAAGAAGGAGCAGCATGTTAAGAAGAAAATAAGCAAACTAGATCCTTATTTATAAAGAAATACATACACAAGTTGTATGGTTAAACATTAGATCAAGCGACAAATGGAGCTTTTATATTTCTATTGTTACATTGGAAGAAAAAAATGGTGCCTGTAAAATAGGCTCCCACTACCACATGCGTATAGGCTCTGTGCCATGAAACCATCGTGCGCATTCTCAGTAAACTCTGATACATCTTCTGTACCCCGGCGGTTCTTTTACACTTCAGAAAATCAGGACCTTCTCTCACGTTTCTATATGTCAGATTATATAACATCCATTTATTTATCTTTAGACTGAAAAAAGAACAAATGATGGATCAACCTTTATAATTAAAAAAAAAATCAAAACAATTTTTCTTTCATAATATGGTTTTTGTGTGAATGACATACGATGTTTTGTGTGGTGATCAAAACCCGCTTTAGTATATGTTTGACATGCCGTACCGAACAGCTCCAACTTTCCGGTGAGCAGAACCACCAGGTGCAGCAGCTGCAGCCGCCGCTGCAACTCCTATTCCAGCGGTGGCCTGTAACAGATTTGTATCGATTACAATCCTGTCACTCATGTTTTCAGCCTTGTGCATTCCGGTTCGAGCCAATATAAACGGGTTGTTATCTATGTTGATGGCTACGTCTGGTGCGTATCTATTGTACTGAGATATCTGTCTTGCCTGCTTCTCAGACTCCATGGTTGTTGTTGTTGTTCTCCTCTCTTGTTGCTTTCCCATGGTGACTGTTGCTGCAGACTGTTGTGGAAAGGGAAGAGAAGTGTTGCGGATGAATGATCTCGGGTCATATGCTTCTCTATTGTTATAAGGACCCACCGGGCCCATGTATGTACTTGGTTTGGCAGCTGCTTGAAGAAAGAGAGTAACGGCTTGGGTTTAGAGTTTGGTAAGAGAAGCATTTGATGCTGGATTCAGGATGAGTGATTAAAACTACCTGAGAGGTTTCTTTGAGGAGGTGCTTGTGATGTTGTGTAATGATTATGAGGAATGTTTTGAGTAGTTTCAGGGTTCAATGTGTTCATAAGTTTCGGTTGTCCTCCTCGTGCAACTGAGGTTGAGTGTATAACTGTTGATCTGAAACCATACAAACAGAGAGTCAGAAAGATATATTATGTGTTTCAGTTACCAACATGATCGGTCTTACCTAGGAAGAGAGGCATGTTTTCTTTCTAGAGGTGCCACAGGGCCGGTTTTCCCGCTGTTTTCTTCAAGATGCGCAAACTGTCTCCTAAATTGATCAACAGCACTGCAGAGCATAGACCAATGTCAGGGATTGGATGTAACACAATGCTTACTCAGAGATGCAATCACAGATATTAAGACCTTGGATAGAGAAAATTGGTTTTCTCAGCCCCGTTCATGTGATCTTTTAGCAGCTGAGGATGGTACTCAAGTATCTCCCTAGATATTAGCTCTCTGATGTCCTCTTTAGTGACTTTTCTTCTCTCGAATTCAAACTCCATCTTTGTGATGGGTTGACATGAAGGCTCCCTTTCCACTTTTGCCAATCCCTTGAAATATGGATCAGCAAGTGCCTAATGATGCAAATGTTAGAAGAAAAAAAAACAGTTTAGTTTGGCATCCCAATGGCACTAGCATATGCATGATACTTGTAGTAGAAGTTAAAAGTAACCTCTTCAGCAGTTGGCCGGTCTTTTGGATCAAAAGCAAGAAGCCTCTCCAGCAACTTGAGAGACAAAGGATCTGCGTTTGGAAATTTCTGAGTAAACGGAATGGGTGGCTTCTTCCTCATACTAGTTAAGTACCTTCTTGCCTTCTCATTCCTTACCTGTATCATATCATTGGTACTGCTTCTTTAGATTTTTCAGAAACTCAATACACTCAGTTAAAGATGAAGATCAGTACCCTGGAGATGGTGTCTAGGGAAGGTGTTCCTAACAGATCAGTCATAAGATCCAGCTGGTGAACAACATTCTTTCCAGGGAAAAGTGGTTTTCCCATCAATACTTCCGCAAAGATGCAACCTATACTCCAAATATCAATCGCAGGTGTATACTACAAAAGCCACATCCACCAAGAGTTAGCTCGCAGTAATACACCAATCACAAGACGCTATATAGAGAATAAATGAAACACCTTAGAGTAAAAAGATCCACAAAGCTCTGGAGCTCTATACCATCTTGTAGCAACGTAGTCCTGTAAATTTCATAAAGAAAAACAAGATTGAAGAGTATCAGGTTCTGTTAAGAGGATAAAAGAACTCTTTGAGAGCTAAATTTTGCAACGTACTGTCCATATGATTGTTGTGGGAGTATCATTGAACGCAACTCTTGCCAATCCAAAATCACAAATCTTAAGTTTACAATTTGCATTTGCCAATATATTCTTTGGCTTCAGATCTCTGTGGTAGACATTAGCTGCAACAACCAAGGAAGGAACATAAGATATTATAACACAGACACATAAAAGAGAGACTCAAAACTAAAGTACCTGTGTGAATGTACTTGAGTGCACGCAATAACTGATAAAGGAAGAACTGGTAATGCTCTCTTGTCAAATCATCATTAGCTTTAATAACTTGATGAAGATCAGATTCCATAAGCTCAAACACAACATATATATCTTTGAACTCTCTTCTCGAAGGAGGAAGCATGATGTGCTTGATTTCAACTATATCTGGATGCCTTAGGAGTCTGAGGAGCTTAATCTCGCGCAGAATCCTCGCTGCATCGGATATATGCTCGAAAATGTCATGTATTTTCTTTATCGCCACTTTCTCACCTGTTAGAGTGTCTATGGCTGAGCAAACAACTCCATAGCTGCCTTTTCCGATTCTTTCTTGGATTTTGAATCTGTTGGCGTCGCCATAGTCAGAGAAGAACTCCATCTCCAGATTATTCTGTAGTTTTATAAAACATGACACATATCACATCAATTGCTACAACCTTGTGGGCTACAAGTACGTATGAAAGCTAGAGTTATAACGAAATTCTCAATCAACCAACTCTCAAATTGTAGTCAAGAGAAAGACATTAAAAACCACATTCAAGTTCCCAACATTACCCCTAAGGGAAGCAAAAAGTCAATAGTTAAATTGAAATTGATCCATTTACGGACGCAATGGCATATGAGCTACAAAGTACAAAGACAACCACAATGAACCAACACATAACCTTGCAGACACCGGCTAAAAGACTCAAGACAGCTGACGGAAGGTAATGACCAGACATAGAAGACTAAAGAGCCCTGCCATTGCTGATAAAGAGATAGAAGATTGTGGAGCTTAAAACTTACGCAAAGCCAGATTGTTTTCACAGACACAAGAAAACAATATGATGCAGAATGTTCACATTAAAAAGCTGATGCTAAAACAAATAAAACTTGAGCAAACAAATAAAACTCGCTACCTTTCTTTAAGTTACAGCATCATGCGTTGTTGTTTAACACTTATAACGTTCATTGCCCCAAAATATCAACTCATAGAACTGATTGAATGTAATAACCAGACACTGCCGTTGCTAAATAAAGAGTGGTTTTGGAGCTTAGAACTCACAAAAAAAGCCAAATTTGTATACAGAGACTAGAATATATAATCTAATACAGAAAGTTGAGATAATCAGAGCACAGAGAAACTGATGCTAAAAAAGTGACACAATGCCATATGAGCTACAAAATAGAAAGGCAACCACAGATGAACTCAACAAATAAACTCGCAGACAACTGACAGAAGATAATAACCAGACATTGCAACATAAATTTTGAAACTTCGACATAAAAAAGAAGAACACTACCGTTGCTAACAAGGATATTAGAGCTCAAAAACTCACGCAAAGCCAGATTGTTTCAGAGACACAACATACAAAATCTGATGCACTCTGAACAAAGAAATAAAACTTTGCTATATTGCAATGAGTTACAACATCACATGCGTTGTTGTTACTTGTTAAGACATTTGTAGTAACGTTTCATCACACCAAAAAAATATCAAACTCATAAAACAGAGATATCAGAATTGCCCAAAACGGCAAACTTTAAAGACAGCAAAAATTAACCGAAACAATCACATATCAATTATCTCACTCACCGTATAATTGGATCGAATAAAGAAAAGATTTTTACAATGAATTTAAGATTAAAAGTCTCCACCTTTTTACGCTGATGATCTGTCTGCATCATTGCTCCTATCAGATTCAATCGAAATTGAAGAGATTCAGATCAGCTGCATTGGCTCCCAAATCTGCTCCGGCAACACTTCACCGACAGACAGAGACAGAATCTCTCTCTTTCTCTCAATTGGTGAAAGCAGATGGGAACAGAATTGCTTTAAAGGCAAGTTTTCGTCCGGGAGATCTGATCACCGACACACAAGGGATTTGAGGAGAAAGAAAGAAAGAGTGAGAGTTGAAAAGAGAGAGAGAGAGATAAGGATGGAATCTTAGAGATGGATCTCTCTTCTTCTTTATATATGGTGTTGGTATGCTTTGCTGTTTAGTAAGAAGAAGAAAGTAAAAAAGGAATAAATAAATAAGTCAACTTATTTAATCAAGTGTTATATTAGTAACTAGATGATAACCCGCGCCATGCGCGGAGTGAGCTTTTTAAAAATATGTTGTATTTAAATATATATTTTGTTATCAATATGGACATTTGGGTACTATTTGTTTCGGTTAA